AACAAAATATTTATATTCGAAAAGTTATGAATCAATGGACATAGCCACATTAATCCTGTTTTTCAAATTTTGTGCGACTTAATTGGCCATATTTTACTGGTAGTAGATATTACCTGTTTAAGTAATAATGTCATTGAAGCGCTTTAGTTTAAAGTACTTATACGCAGACGTTTCCGTTACTAACTATCAAAGTGTGATTCTGAGACAAACGAATAACCAGTTTGTTCTACTTCCTATTATTATCACCATATAATATTACCATAACAAGTTCAAAGTGCTCGGTACTGGTAAAATGTTTACTGATATCTTGAGCTTTTTACTTTTAAGTAATAAACGCTTGAGAACACGACAAACTTGAAGGAAGCGTTCGTATTTACTAATATTAATACATGTTACGTGAAGACAAATGTGTAATATTAAACATGATAGCTTTTTGAAAAACATGAAATAGAATCTAATACATAATGAATATATGAACTATGTAATACGTGAAAGGCTAGATGCTAGATATACTTTCCGTAATAGTGCATATAGTCACATGCACTAAGTAAAATTACTTAAATTATCTAATAATTCTTTTACGCCATCGTATACCTTTATTTTTTTTACTTCTAAACATGGCATTTCTTTTTAATCTTTAGTGTTAGCTCACGCTTATTTCAAGCAAAAGAAAAGGTGTAAATGTAGCGTCAGTGATCGTTCATAATCAAATCTACCATAGTAAATAATAGCTCATAATATATAGATCTGATTAACTTCAAAATTTCAATCCTATATTAGTTTCGGAGAGTGTGGAGAGACCAAGTTGTGGCCAGACTATACGATCAGGAGAGCACTCCAACATTTAGCTGACGAGAATTGATCTGCTTAATTACTAGTACAGTTGGTAAACGGTATCATGTAACTTTTAATTTCACAATAAAAATTAGGAATGTTATACTCTTACATCAACATGACGTCAGTTTGTAATAAATACAATTAATTTAGGATGGTGTGAATAAAATATCCTAAAACAGTGTCACTGTAATGTTATGGAATCCTCTTTAGAGGATGTTAGTAATCAAATAGTTATAATAGGCCTAAATTCTTAATTTTTGGTAAGATATACCTGCAGACACAATATTCAAAAGTAATATATATATACTAAATATTAGATAACAGTACTGCAAAAAATGAGTTTTATTTTGTTACCAGGTGACATCACATCAGCAAAGAAAACATTGTAATCATATAATTTCTATTAAACATTAACAACTTGATTTTAGACGAATTTTAATTGAAAAATTTCCAAAGAAGAAAAATTTATGCAGAAACGTAAATTCTGAACTCACTTTCACTCATTTATGAGAATGAAATCTTTTAGCAGACTTTCCTTTTATTTTCGGACCTTTTTGTATATACCTTACAGAATTAAGTTTCTCATAAAAAGGTGTAAAAACCATTGTAATATTGTATTGTTCTGGTGCCATGATTTAGGCTATGGATAAGTAAATTTTAAAGGATATTTCTTCTATAGCTTGAAATTAGATACATTTACACATACAAAAATTGAGTACGTTTATGGTTTTAACAGGTGAATATACTCTTGTTACCAAAACTAATTATCTTTAATAACGTAATAGTATTGCGCTGAACTGTTAAATTATTGTAAAAACGAGTAAAAAACCTCCATAAAAAAGTGTGATATAAATCACTAGAAGGTGTCAAAAATTGAAAAGTATTAGAAAAACGATATTTGTATAAAAGGGAGTGGTTTAGGTAGTGAAAAAAATGAGTGTATACAGATATATTTACATCGTTGAGTATAACTGCTGTAAAAAATATACCTGATATACTAAATGACTTTTAATACTAGTTATACTTTGAGATAAAGGGAGACTTAAGCAAATAGAAATCTTACGACTTGAAGAGGGTTGGGTCTACAAAGCAACTTTCAGCATCTGAATGAATTCTGAAAATGTACGAAAAAGTTAATGATGAAATTGCCATAGACCCAATATGTTAAAGTTTAATTTCTATGTGAAAGCTATTCAATCGTATTAACACAAGCAATATTTATATATCCATAAAAATCAAAAGTATATTGCTAAATTATCATATATGGACCAACAGAGGGTGCCAAAAATCCAAAAATTTTAATGTTTCAGTCGTGAATAATATTTGGGAAACACATATGGAAATTGGATTATGTGTGTTATTAGAAATTATTGTGATTAAGTTTTGATACAAAAAATGAGTTAAACATCATATTTTAGTAGTAACTTACCTGTAAACATACAAAACTGTGTGGTAACAAAACTGGTTTAATCCTATAACATAGAAAGTTTTATGTATCTGAAATTTGACAACTTTAATTTAGTTAATCCACATGTAGAGAAATTATAATGTGTATATGATTATATTATTTATTAGCTTTAATAGATATATATATAAGCACCATAAAGTTTAAACAACTGTTTAAATTTTATATAATCTAAAGTGTAAGTAATAATATAATAATAAAATTTAGCCTTACAAAGGTCACTTCTACACTCTATTGCCCAGTAATGTTGACTTGAAATTAAGTTCGTAAAACGATCTTATAAAAATATGATCAAAGTACATAAAAGGGGTGAAATATATCATTCATCGTTACCCTTGATAAGTATTTGCTAAGTAAGCAGCTCTTTCTATATATACTGCTAACTAAGGGTTGTATTATTAATCAAAACTGGGTAAACTTTCTACAGGCTTCAAAATTTAATAGACACCTCGTGAATGTGGGCTTAAAACTGTCTATCTCATAAAACTAATATTGTGTGCTTAATCTGTTTCGCTTTGTCTTTGCAATTGGACAGTTCTTATAAAATCTCTGTTCAACCGATACGTTTACAAAAATCGTCTGTTGGCATGTATTGATTACGTATAAGTAAATGAACAATTATTAAGAATATTTCTGTTTCAGTTTTCCGGTTATTAATACAAAATGCTGTAATGGTTATCCAGTTCAAGCTTTAACCATATTAACTACAATGAAGTTAACATTTTAATAGTGGCATTTTGTATATTTTCAACATGATCAGCATCCTATGCAACACATGGAATAAACAGTCAGGTTAGAGATCCGAAGTTTAGGAATAACTACCCTTAATTTACAGTTGCCAATCAGCGACACTCACCGAGTATTGAGACTGACTGTTACAGTTATAACGCCGCCTAGACGAAAGTGTGGAGCGTGTTCAGCAACATATTGTGCCTCGAACCTTGGATATTCTGATCCAGCACGCTGATTATTATGCCACACCCAGTTCCACTTTATCACTAGGACGTTTAATGATTAACGTAAAATTCAATGACTTTATTGTTTAATTCAACACATTACGTAGTATGTACAAATATCACATGGAACCACAAAATACGCACTTTTTCTGTGGCATGGTAATAAATGAAAAATTAGAGGATACTGTCACTGTGAGTTGCCACTTCAAGACACTTAGAACGGAAGCATAAGAGCTTATTAGTTATATACTCATGTTCAATAAAATGTTTAATATCACCTTATGGTGAGAAAAAGTCAATAACATACGTGATATCAGTCCTAGCGTGATCCACGCATTAGCTTGCCAGACTGTGGGGCTGTGGTTCGTGTCCTGTTACCGCCAAAAACAAGAAGAATCTCTCTCTGCACTTTAGGACAGAGGGTGCGTTACAAGAAGGGGGGGGTGAATATCATTATTGGTTTTGACACGGGTTAGCGGTGGATGGTGTTAATTACTTTGTCTTCCTTTTCGTCTATCCTTTCAAAATTAGAGACGGCTAGCGCAGCTAACCCTCGTGTAGTTTTGCGTAAAATCCAACAAAACAAACTACTGTCATATGATTGGTTAATTTTAATAAATAATCAACGAACTGTGATTTGTTAATTTTTTTTTCACAATTCTGAAAGACATAAAATACTTAGATTCTGAAGCACTGTGTTTTGTGAGTTTTGCTAAAGACTATTAGAGTTTTATATAATGAATCATTGGATGTAGTTTTCTTTCTATTCACTACCATGGAACTAAACAATAAAGAGAAATACATGCGCACTTGTTGACTCACGGAACTGCCACAGTAACCAAGTAACAAAGTTTCACTTGTTGACTCACGGAACTGCCACAGTAACCAAGTAACAAAGTTTGATTTCCTTTATGCTTTCCTTACACAGTAAGTTTCTCTATACGCCTGCTGTGATAAAGTATTTATCCATTTACCGATTCAAAAATACAAAAAAGTAACTTAGACATTCGAAAAATCACGGATCTAGTCCTAAACCTGAAAACAGCAACATATTTGAAATTTTGTTTTGCTTCGAAGAGCAATTGTTATCATAAACTTGAAGAGTTCATTGGTAATGATTTCTTCAAAAAGATCAGAAAAACTAAAAATATTTGTAAATTATACACGAAGGATACTTTACATAAGCCACAAATATTTGTGATAACAGATTGGCAAAGTTTTAGATATTCTAAATAGTTTAGCGCACACTACGATACATTTTATGTATTTGACTAGATGCTTATGTTATTTGTATTATATCAGAAATCACCGTTCAGCTAAATGCACAGCAGATTGTTTGTGATATTTTTACTTAGTTAGTCCTTCTATGGTATTCTTATTCAGCAGGCCTGATGACAAACAGTTTTCAGGATTTTCACAGGATATAGAGTTACATGATTTTATGTTATAATAAAATAGCTTTCATCGCGTATTCGCATGCCAAAGTTTTGATGTGCAATGACGAAATTTCGTTTTGAAATTTTTCTTGTTTCATTTATGTTTGCTCAATCTTCAGCGCGTTAAGATCTATACAAACACAAACTGCTTAAATGTTTTTTGCCCACGTTTCCTCCAATGCTATTTCCGGTCTCCGTGCCATTGAATCTTTTATATATTGTAATGTATGAATAGAGATACTTCCAGTTCCGCCGGAAGTGGGGAATGAACGATATTTATATAAAAAAAGCGTTATGCCTTGTTTCATAACCACGTTGCACATACACACAACAACAACCGTATGACATAAAACCCAGGGTGAGTCTGCAGAATATAGCTAGAGTGCGCTGTGTAATCTGTATAAGATAAAATAAGATTTTTTAAGAAGCTATCGTCATTATTGAAAATGAATATCATGCATGCTTTCTGTTACTTATGGGTTATTCTAGCAGAAATTCAAAATGTGCACAGCTTTTTGTTTGAAAGGTAAGGATATTTTTCGGGAGCGTATATCTTATGATCCAGAAAATTAATAAGTATTTCTGGTTCTTATCATTTTCTTGCTAACATTATTATTTGTTCTCTAACGATATGACTTCCTAGAAAACGTTTCCTGTTCTTGTTTTGTCTATAAAATATGTATGACTGTATGTATAAAACCTTAAGTTAACGGGTAAATTTTATAATTAATATATTTTTTTCTATTAGTTGTTACTTTATAATTTCAATGTATGTTTAATTTTTTATATTTTCATTTAGTTTAACTTATTTATTTATTTTTTACATTTGTTGCAAAATATATTGTTAAAAACACAGACGTACGTACTTTTATCTCATGTCTCCACACACAGCTATATAAAAACTTTGCTTACAGTAGTTGGTCCGGCATGGCCAGGTGGCTAGGGTGCTTGACACGCAATCTGAGGATCGTAGGTTCAAATCTCCGTCCTACCGAACATTCTCGTCTTTTCAGCTTGGGGGCATTATAATGTGACGGTCAATCCCACGATACGTTGGTAAAAGAGTAGCCCAAGAGTTGGCGGTGTGTGGTGATGACTAGCTGCCCTCCCTAGCTGTCTTTCACTGCTAAATTAAGGACGGCTAGCGTAGATAGCCTTCGTGTAGCTTTGCGTATAATTCAATACAAAGAAACAAATTTTACAGTAATTAGGAGCGTACTTCATTCCAGTTTGAATTTTGAACAATTTACTATGTTTCACAGTTATTAAGCCTAATCATGTTTAGAAAGTTGACGCAGTTTGAACATGTCCTCTGACTTTAAAAAACCCTTTAGCTGTACATGATTCTAAATAGATAATTGGAATAACACTCGTCAGGCAACAAAATCATTTCTAAGTGCACCGCAAAGAGTGAATTCACATTTATTGTTAACCTAGGTGAATTTCGTTTAACATTCGATTCTCTCAGACTACAATTTTGTATTTCTGACAGTACGTTCTACAACGCTTATTCTCTCACTTTTACTAAAGCTTAATATAACTTCGTAAGCAGCATCAGTTGTAATTGGTAAAAAGTCATTACTCTATGAACCATGAGTGGAGGATAATATGTAATATGTCCACATATCTGCCATATCCAGTGCCAACGAGGCCATTCGCCCAATACCAGGGCGAAACAGGTTTTTCCAGAGAGGGAATCCTCAATAGCCACGGCACTTGAAATTCTTTTAGGCAGGATTAGAGTAAATTAATGTATGAGACTTTGGGCGTGGTCAAATAAATCAATCGAAAGGGTTTGACCTCTTGAGTCCAAAACTAATCAGATCTCACATCGATCAAGAAATGACGGAGCTATGAGCTAAAAGTTTGTACTTGAAAAACTCAGAGTCGTTCTATGAGCGGTTAAAACTATTCCTACTTCTCGTAATGTACCTCTATGTCTTAGGTTTTGTGTTAAGCGTAGACAAGTCATATATTATCCTGGTAATACAGAACCATAAGACAGGTTGAATCCCATAAATATTCAAACCAAGTGATTCCTATGTGGCTTAATACGTATTTCTAGTCAAAAGTTACAACAGTACATATTTCGCGATTTTTTTATCTACCATAAATACGTTATGATAAAGTGAATATGATTTTATCTTTATGGATTTCCTTCTTACAGTTTATTCGAACAGCGACGTCCCCACGGCTGAAAGGTGGGGATGTTCGGTGACGGTATTCGAAATCGCAACCTGCACGATTTTAGCGCCTTAGCCGTCAGATCATGACAAGCTAACTGATTCAGATTCTATGTATTATTTTTCACGATGGAGGATCATTGAGGATCCCAATTATGCTTCAAGCCACTATATAAACAAAATGCATGGTTATAAAAGGGAATCAATCAAAGGTGGCAATAGACATCTACTACTAGAGACCTCTATTAACAGTGGCAATGTAATAGTAATACGTCTACTACTAGGCAAACCATGTTTTTCTTGGTACCATCTTATCAAATCCTGACTTACTGTTGAAGAAACCGATTAGGTGTGTCACAGTCTAATCCTTGTTATATTTTATTAGCCATACCAATAGTATTTTCCATCCGTGTTTCACTAATAGTTGGTCATTACACTCAGTGTTCCCTAGTAGTAAACGTAATACACTTCTCTTGCAACTGTTGGTTGATCTCCCTTGGCTACTAAGACAAGTTACACTTCTGTTGCCATTGTTAATAAGTTTCTCTAGCAGTAGACATATTACACTTCCATTGTCACTAATGATAAGTTTCTCTAGTAGTAGACGTCTTACACTTCTATTGCCACTGTTCATCATTACAAGAACTTTGGAATATACATCTGACTACTAGTCTGGAAACACACAAAGTACAGTTTCCGTGGGCCCTAGAACACAAATTGTAGACAATAATGAGCGACTGGAGGAATGCGCTATTATTGAATGTGTTGTGTTTCACCCTTTTTTTTTACGCTAACAGTAGAAGAAAACCACATGAATCTATATGTTCTGGTAGTTCAAGTTGCTTGAAGTTGTGTAATAATGTGGGTAACGTTGTTTTGTGTGAGGGATTGGATTCTTTTCCTTTTGAAAAACCGTATAACGTTCAGAACGTATCACCTACAACTGCTGCATTTCCACTTTGCTGGACAAGTGCTTTTCCTTGAAGATGATGCAGTAATCTGTCACATTCGTATTGTTCGAAACTGGTCCAAAGAATATGACAATGATTTTAGTAATGTTTCTTAGCTAGCACAATCAGCGGATCTCCAACGAAAAGAGTTCCCGGGAGAACAAACTCGTACTTCGCATTCACCACGGAAATCATCTACCAACATCCGTACGACAATTGTAGATCATACACTTTGAAGAATGTATTAAATCGAACATGATACTTTCCGGCACTTTTGGACGTGTACGGCATGATGACTCCTGACTATTATCTAAACGAATGATGAATGTAACCAACGCTACAACTGACAGATTTCCTAATATAGTGGCCATTAAGTTGTAAACTTAACGAAAATGTATGGGCCGCCAATATTTTTTAATGGATTTCCTACAGTTAGTTTTAGCTTTTTCTGCAACGTGGAAGAAAAACTTTTATCACAACGTTTTTCTCTAAAAACAGAGCACATATATATATAATATACATTATGTTTTCGATAATTACATAATATACATTATGTTTTCGATAATTACATAATGTACATTATGTTTTCGATAATTACATAATGTACATTATGTTTTCGATAATTACATAATG